TATAATTCTTCCTAGCAAAATAAAAAGATTTGTTTCAAGGGAGGTCGGCATAATCATACTTCCCCCCCCCCCCCACTCCACGTCCACGAACCCCTGTAACGCTTCTATAGGCATAACAAGGAACGTAAATGCATTCATTCTATGCTAGACTGCTATGATTCATATTCATATTAATCTATTCACAAAGACCAACGGAGCACATCCTTTGTCAAAGCTCCTACATTATGTGTTGGGGAACGAATTTGTTAGCCAATTGTTGCCAAGTGAGCATCAGTTTGACGCGGGATGGTATTCAACTAATCGCCATTTTGATTGGCACCTGATACACATGTTACACGAGGTTGGATGAATTGTGCTTCTTCAAACAGTTCAATCATAAAATGAGCGTCTAGATGATCAGCATTCTTTCTGACTTCACATTACGAAGATTTGAATTCCAACATACCGGTATTAAGGTGAGCTTAACGTTATATGTAGGTAATTTTGCTGTGAAAAAGTTCGGTTTCATACAAGGAAGTGGATGAAAAATACGTAATTAGGCGATAAAAGGAGAAACAGGTGTATTTATGCGGGATAGCAGGCGCGTACGCAGGATTGTTTTCAAGGGGGGGCGGGGGGTTAGCATTTATAAATCGGGAGGGGGTGGGGGTGGGGGGGGGTAGGAGGACACTTTTTTTTTTTTTTTGGTCTCGAAATTTGAAAATTTTACATTTTGCTCCGTTGGGGGGGGGGGTAAGGTCGCCTTTTTTAGGTCAGCCATGGGAATATTTAAAGAAAAAATAAATCACAAGGGGGGTTTTAGGGGGGTTTGGGGGGGTTTACACACATACAAATACAGAAGGGGGGTTTAACCCCCCCCCCCCCCCCCCCCCCCCCCCCCAATCTGTGTACGCGCCTGCGAGATAGGGTATGTTTATCTTATCTGGAGAAAGAGATATGGGAATAAAAAGTTTAATTTATGCGATTGTTCATTCGCTTTACACAAAATTGATAAATCAGGATGATTCCTGGCAACGAAATGACTGAATACATTGTTTTTTCTCGCTTGCTAACAATATTCTAAAAATCTAGATGATATATTTGTGGGTGTGAGGCTTTCACCACCAAAATATGTCTATTTGTACAAGAATTGGAAAACAAATAATCTGAAGCATTTGTGATAATAGTGATGTGAAACAAAGAAACAGAGACACTTGAAGGGAAAATTAGATGGAAACAAAGTTTCAAGTTGCGGGTTCGTCACAATATGTAAAGAGGGGAAAGGGGTATTGACAGCGGGGATAGTGTGAAAGGAAGCAACAACAAGGGATTGGGAGATAGAGAGGAAGAAAGACAGTGGGGAAGAAAGGAATTGATAGAGAAAAAGAAAGACAGAGAAGGAGAGAAAGAGAGGGAAGAAGACAGACAGTGGATATAGAAGGAAAGAGAGAGCAGGAAGAGACAACTAATGACAGATAATTATAATGATTTAAGACGTTTGCACTGTTGTAGCATAGATCAAGCCAATGAGGGGGCATCCGTGAAATAGGGGGTGAAAAGGAGAGGGCGGGGGGGGGGCAACATGCAGTGAGGGTACATGACATTAAATGTAATGATCATGCATATAATTCTCAAATATTATTGCAGTGAATATCTTGAAATGAGTTAAATGTCACTAACTCAAGGAACATCATTCCTGCACGAGATGAAATAACATACACACACTTAACACGACTGTAGTAAAGGAAAAAGAAAGCATGATTTAAAACAGATACTAGTCTTGTTCAGACGGAGGCAGGTTACCCTGAGGTAAAGGTCGTGTTAAGAGCTAGTCGGGGAAAATATGGTAAGGTAGGTGTAAAGGTCGGAGTAGTAATCGTCAGGACGATGGTCGTGTTAACCACGCCTACCTTTACCCCCGACCTATTTATTCCTGGACAGAATCCACGAGTAACTTGCTAACACGACTAGAGGGTAGCGTAAGTTGACCGTGTGGATGCTCTCACTTACACCCGGGAGTATTATGTGACCTTTTACGAGTCATCTATACACAGACTTTGGCCAACTTAGTGTCACTGGGTAACAACATGGCGTATATTTTGTTGTTTTGTGCTTGCCCAACAAAGCAGTAGTCGCCATCATGGCCCGAATTCACAAAGGAGGTTTGTCGACAAATCTAGGTTTATGTGCGTCATAATGACGCGTTGCGATGCGTTTCAGACCAAGGTCCTATTGGAGCTCAGTGTTATTTTGCTCTAATGTTATGAACCAGAGGAAAATGACATTGAGTTCCTATAGGAAATTTGTTTATTCAGATGGTCATATCTCAGTCAATTGGTTTTTCGACATTTGGACATAATTTATTATGCTCTTTCGGAAATAAAGAACAAACTTGAGAAATTCTAAAAATAGATTGGTATGATGTCACAGCTTCGGTACTCGGTGAATGACACATGAGAATTTACTGCTGCAGGGATTATCTTACGCCGAATAGCAAAACCCCGTCTGAACAAAACTTATGCAGTTACGATTATTAATTATACTTCACCTGATCTGCAACATCTGCTACACAGCACACGCCTTGCATTTAATTTGCCAAGATTCTCTCCACTCACTTTGTCTTTAGCATTGAAAGAACACGTAATCCAAAGCTTTTAGAGATGCATAATCCGTCTTTAATTCGTTTGACGTCAATTCTAATTGATCTAATGACTTTATTGCTTCTACCTAGGATAGAACGGTGGGACAAAGTCATGTGACCGAGATATAACTTGTAAAAGAACTTTGTCTAACTACAGCTGGTTATTTCGTTTTAGGGGTTAGGATAAGCACCCCCTCCCCCCCCCCCCCCCCCCCCCCTGAAACGATGCAATGGATTTGGATCACAAGGAATGTCAATGCATTCATTTATATTCATGATAAATATTTCACAAATAGAGCAAAGGAGCACATCTTTTGTCAACGCTCGTTCATTGTGTGTTTTGGGGACAATTTCTCTGTTTTTCTACTTGCCATATGCATGTACTGTAAGCATGCATGAGTGAAAATGCTTATGAATTTGTGTGCAAATTTGGACCAAGTGAGCATCGGTTTGACGTTGGATGGTATACAACTAGAGGCCATCTTGATTTGCGCTTAATACACAAATTAAGATAAATACAGGTTAGAGGAATTTTTTATCAGCTTTCTTTCAGACTTCATATAACGAAGGTTAACATCACAACATACTGGTATGTAAAGTGGGCTGTAAATTGAATGTATATAATTTTTGCTTTGAACAAGGTTGGTTTCATATAAGGAAGGGAATGAAAAATATATAAAATTGTAATAATGCAATAAAAAGAGAAACATGTGTATGCATGTGAGATGGGGTATGTATGTCTTATTTGGAAGTAGAAAGATGAGAATTCAAATTATGAATCCACTTATAAGAAAGCTCTTAGATATAAAAAGTACTACAACATGAGAAGAAATGTTAATAATATCTCACACTGTATGTCTCTTTTTCTTTCTTCTTTTCTCTATTTCTCACTGCCCGAATTGCGTCATTATTTGGTTGGCATGGCACCCGAATATAACCGTATTTATTTTATTTATATATCTAAATGAAATGTATGCCACAACAACATTTTCTATTTGTACCACTCGTGGATTTACTTATCGAAAAATTGATAAATCATATTGATTCCTGGCAAGGAGATGACTGAAGACAATGTTTTGCTCGATGGCTCGCAATATTTGGAACCCGGGCAATATCTTTTCAGACGAGAGACCCTATTTACAATGGACAATCGATAAAAACGCATCTACCTTATCAGGGGCGTACGCAGGATTTTTTCAAGGGGGGGGGGGGGGGGGGGGGTTTGAAATCGGGCCCAAAATATTTTGCTCCCGAAAAATTTAAAATCGCGCCGGCCGAAAAGTCGCTCAGTGGGGGGGGGGTGGGGGGGGGGGGGGGAAGGGGGCCGGGTAAGCGTACATTTTTTTTTTTTTTTTTTGGAGTCCCAAAAAAAATCGCAACGACTCAGCCAGCCGAAAAGTCGCTCAGTGGGGGGGGGGGGGGGGGTCTCCAAATTTGCAAATTTGACATTTTCTTCGTGGGGGGGGGGGGGGTAAGACGCCCCTGTACCTTATTAGCTAACGTACCACATAAACGAAAACAATATTTACTTTGAACTTAAAATTAACCTCATGGGATAAGACTAGATGATACTTGGTTGTTTCCATAAATACAATTATAATTGTTCATATTAAACCAAGAATTAGAAGTGGTTATATTTACAGTGCCGTGACTTGTTTTCTAAGAAATTTGTATCCTCATATAGAATACTTATCTGTGCATTGACAGAATGGTATCAATATGTTTTTAAGTAACACTACATTGTAGGATGTGTTGGAGTATGAGGTTGTTAACACTTACTATACAAGATCCGTCGTAACATTGGTTTAAAAACACAAAGTAAGAGCTAAGTCTGATCCAATCCAAAAGGTTTTCGATTTTATAACACCTTTTTCTTGCAGTTATAACGCGTTGCATACATAGCCCTTTTATATTCCACATACTAATAATCTTGCTCTACGATAGGTCAAAAGTAAAGCACGTGATGAAAGATATATCGCCCATTATTGATGGGAGAAGCAAAAAGTTCGTTACACCTTCTCAACTAGTTTGTTAGAAGCGCCAAAACGAAATGTAATTGAAGTTGAAGTGCCAACCTGTATGTTTGATGAATGTGCTGCGAGGAAATGTAGCGACCAAGCCGACAATGGACGGGTTCCAGGGGCCCACCATAGGTGGAGGATTTTAGGGCTTTTTAAAGGCCCGGATGTTGCATTTTTAACACCTTTTTAATCCAAAATGTATCAATCATAATTTCATATTGATGTGAAAAAGTTAGTACAATGCCTGGATACAATTACACTGAAAGTAAATATGTATGTAGTCATTGTGGTGCAATAAACACGGGAAATGCCAAAATAAGTTCAAATCAAACAAACAAAATGCCTTGCTTACCTCAATTTTAGTGGCTGAAGTTGCACTTTTTAGTCAGGGCTATCTGCTTGAAGTTTGGGGTGTATGATGTTGTGCAGATTCTTAAGCAGTGTTCCAAATGAGCATTTGTCAGGCTACTTCGATACTTGGTCTTTAGAATGTTCATCCAGAATGTAGCTGTTGACTCATTTCTTGTCTGCTCAAAGAGTAGTCTGAGTTCATCGTCAGACTTCATTCGTACAAACTGCATTTGCAGCTTTGCTTTTGAAAGCTGTGGAGCCACGAGGTTTGCTTGTTCCAACCACTGACCATTGGCCTCCATAGCAAATGGAATCTTGACCATCACGAGAAGATCGTCTATGAATGCAAAGTTGGAGAAACGTTCCTTGAACTCATTTGACAGTGCCTCAATGAACGAAACAAATTGCTCCACATCAGCGTCAGGTGAGTATTTCTTTAACTGAGTGAAGTGAATCATTTCACTCATGAGATCGTCTCTAAAGACATCCAACTGCAACTGGCATGCCTTCACCTCTGTCTTCACGTCAGAAAGGGACATAGATTTCCCTTGCAGGAGAAGGTTAAGTTTGTTCAAGTGCTCAAACATGTCAACAAGAAAAGCAATGACCGTCATTTCTTCCTTGCCATTGAGAAAGCAAAGGTATGATTGTGAAAATTCGTTGCCCAACTGTTGAAGAAACCCGCAGAGATCTTGTCGTAAGTCCCACACTCTACTCAAGACTTTACCTTTACTCAGCCAGCGGACTGCCGTGTGAAGAGGTACATCATGATAAGCAGCCTCATGTTCTTTCAAGAATGCCTTTACATCCCGGTGTTGTTTGGCTGACTATGCCCTTAAGAAGTTAACAAGACTAATGATAATGTTCATCGGCTTTACGAATTCACCTTTGAGTTTACTGCACATTACCGAATTATGAATGATGCAGTGAAATGTCAACAAACGCGGACAGTCTTTTTTTAGGAGAGTTGCTGCTACATTGTGTTTGCCGACCATCGCAGGGGCACCGTCAGTCACGAGGCAAGTGATTTTCTCCAAAGGTATCTCATTTGTTTGAAGGCAATATAAAATTGCTCCATGGATATCTTTCCCTGTTTTCGATCCCATCATTGGAATAAGCGCCAGTAGTTCATCCCTAAATAAACCTGCATCTTAATAAAGATACCTAACAAACAATGACAACTGAGCCACATCTGAAATGTCCGTGGACTCATCGGTAGCAATGGAAATACATTCTGTCACCTTCAGTGCATCAATAAGTTTCTCTTTCACAGTTTCGGCCATCACCTCGGTCCTTCTGGTATTAGTGTCATTTGAAAGTGGTATTTTGCGAAAGGTCTCAACTTCGTTTGGACATAACAAGCGAGCCGTTTCAACCATGCATTCTTTCACTACTTCCGAAGTGGAAAATGCCATTTTGTGCTTGTTCAGAATCCATGAAACTCGTAGTGACGCTTCCGTAGTTTTTTCTTGGAGTGTAGTTGATTTGACAATAATCTTGGTCGAGTATTCATGTGACTTGACAAGCAAAGCTAATTTCTCAACGCGTTCTTTGCTACCAAGAGGGTATTTTTGTTCAAAAGTCTGATGTGTTTTAGTATAATGCCTCCGAATGTCGTGTATCTTTACGCTGGCTACCGTGCGGCTGCAAATCAAGCACATCGGCTTAGCGTTAGATCTTTTCGGCAGGATGAAAAAGAATTCACGCATCCATTCATCATTGAATATCCGATTCTCTTCTTTCTTTTTCTTCTCAGGCGGAGCATCAGAAGAAGTAGATGCCATGATACTACACCGTAAAAAAATAATAGTCGAAATAACTCAATAAAATTGAGGAAAAGAATTGCCTTATTTTTATTAAGTAAATATTACTTACGGCATCTTAAGTAGCATTTACTTATTTTGCTGAATAATTTTTTACTCAGTTAAATCGAGTTTCATTAACGTAAATAATTTAAGTATTGTAATCATTTTAGATAATTAAAAAAAAAGCTATGATAGGATTACATATTGCACGATTTGGTACCCATCTAATCTAACAAGTAACATCCACTAATCATTTACTGCTTCTATTTAACCGTATATATATATATATCTACCACCATCACAAACTATTACACACGCTTCAATTCGACACATATTGAAAGGCTCCAAATTTTATATATACTTGATCGTAGCATCTTAAAAGGAAAATTGGTTGACAATTTCTTGAAATATCAAGTTTTGATTTGTTTTGAACTGGGTAACAATTAAAAATTGTCTTGTCTTTGCTTAGCCATGTTAAATGAATTAGTAAATGTTTTAAAGTCCTTACATTTTCATTCAACCACAAAAAAGAATTGTTTTATTTAAAAAAGAGTTTAATTTGGTCTTAATGAATATTCATAAATTATGTAAATATTTTTATTACGCACTGCATCGGTCCTTACTTTAAAAAGATAAGAATAATCAACATAAATTGTTTGAGTAATACGTATAATTTCTGATTTTTAGTTAAAATTACTAAATTAATACAAGCTGAAATTACTTAAAGTTCTTATGTATTTGATTTTACTTAAATATTCCACGGATGTTCTACTAAATTGAAAGTTTGAGTTAGCAAGACTTAAATTTAGTGCGTAAGTGGCAAAACTAATGTTTTTAAAGTAAATTCTACATGGAAAAAATACGTAAAAATTACCAATGAACAAATTCTTTTTTACAGTGTAGGGACTTTTAGAGTCGCACGAAGACAATAGGTCTATGCTACGATCGACGTCCTGTTAATGCACTGCCGTGAATGGACGTCATACGTATCAGTCCACGCAAATCTAAAAGTCCCTATTAAGTTCCTAGTTACCCCTGGTCTCTGATCACGCTTGATTCCTATACATTTCACACTATATGGAACTATTATGCAAGTTGCAGTGGTAAACAATGCTTTTGGAATAACAACGCTTGCACAAAGTGCGCTCCAGGCCAAATGAGGTCATGACCTAATTAATTAACATGGTTATTGCGACATCACTCTCGCCGACCAGTTTTTCCACTTAAAATGTCGCAATGCAGTATCATTGATTAGCTCGATTTGTCCCAGAAACCCGCGCGCGGATCACCAATCTAAAAATAGATACACGGTGTTTCCTCAGATCGGCAATGATAAACATTGTAATGTAGATAAACATCTGCATAACAGAGTCCCAAACTTCAAGCAGATAGCCCTGAGTAAATGGTAAAAGCCGTTAATTTTCCCCTTCTTCCTGTTTGTTAAGCAAACATTTGGGGCTTAACTTCGACTGCGATTTCTTGATTTTGCTGGGTTTTTAATTTAAAAAAAAAATTGTTATAATTGTTTTTTTCTTTCTTTCCGGGCAACAGCCGCGCGCCACTACGAGTGACCGCAAGCGCCACGAGTGGCGCGCGCGCCGCCAGTTGAGAACGCCTGTAATAAAATGTAGATAGTACTACTATCTACGCAGTGCAACGCACTTTCACTGAAGATAGAGGTACTATCTACAAAGGGCAATGCACTTTCACTGAAGATTATCCAAAAGCGCACTAAAACAGGCGTAATTAAGCGCGCATTACCAATGAGCGCAATTAAAACAAACACATGCGCGCACCGTATCCTCAAGGGGTTGGGTTAAACTACTGTTTAACTTTTTTGGTGTGAATTTGGGCATGGTGTCTTTCATGAAGATGCATACACGTCCTTTTCTTTTTGTAGTTAAATAGTTTTAGATGTGGAATATAAAGCAAATAATCACCTTTTGGTTTCAGGCGATGGCAAACTATCACTTCCTCGCCGATCAGAATGTATACGCTATCTTTCCTCAGCTTCGCTTCGGAAAGAAAGCTACATCCAGATCGCCTCGGAAGTGATAGTTTGTCCCATCACCTTAACCAACGGTAGTTATTTGCTTAATAGTATGGTTCGGCCACCTGATAGTGTCACTTTTCAAGAACACTGCCATTAAAGCGCGCATACGATCCTAAACCTATGTGTTTCGCCGAGCGATGATTTTTGCTTGGTTTAGATTTTCTTTTTTTTGCTCTTATAAGCTACCATAGGTTAAGTTCGGCACTGTCGCCATGTTCTTCAGTCAACGCAGTGCACAGTCAGAAATGTAGTCCAGTTTGACTCATTTACCAGTTAACCCGTCAGTTGCCATTCAAGTATTCCCGACGAAGTTTTGTCCCGCCACAGAAGTGAGTGTTTAGATTAATATAAACTGGAATGTGAACTGATAAAACGGAAAATAAGATAGTTTCAAGTTGAACTGTAAAATAGATTCTAAAGAAACTGTATTTAACTCATTAGCATAATGCACGTGTGGCATTAATTCCAAGATGGCTGCGCCTAAAATGGCTGCGCCCATAAGACGTACTTTAAAGTCATGTGTTTTTCAGGTTAAATAATAATTGTCAAAATAGAATTACAGTATTAGGCAGATATTGCTTTATGTCATTTATAAAGTAAACAGTGTTTATATGTAGAAGTCCTAAAGATAAAGGATGTTTATATTTGTGCATGCTAGAATCTTGGATTTTATGCAGTTTGTTTGGGTGACAAAAGTTGGTCTGTGGAATTTGATTTAGCTTGCTTAAAAGTTGCAAGACACCATTTATTGACTTGGTGAAAGGTTAAGCTTTGCACCTCTGGCATGTATTTAGAGTCAGAATTGAAAGACAGTGTTTAATCATTTTAAGAGTTAATAATGAAACTCGAAAGGATTGCTGTAGTGTACTGCATGTGTGGATTACAGATGTAAATTACAGGTGTAAATTACAAGTTATGCCAGATAGTTTATTTTGTATTGAAGTGTAAATCTCTAGATTATTACTGGGAAGTTTTAGAGCAAGTCAGGTATTTCAGTTTAATTCAAACAGGGTTAAATTGTATGAAGACATTTTATGAGACAGTTTTTCTTAGGCGAGCATAAATATGCAAATTAGGTGCCTGTCAAAGTCAGTGAAGGTCATTCGATACATTTAAAGCGACAATCCATTGTTGAGGTTTTTAGAAGGAATTATTTATGCTATGAAGATAGATGAGAATTATCAAGCTTATGTATGGATGCAAGATAAAGATGTTTACAGTTATTTTGGTTCATGCAAATTGACATTAATCTGTTTAAAGGGAAGTCAGGTCTGTTTGAGAAACTCTGAAAGTATGAGTGTTTGAAAGTAATGCATATATTAGACAATGCATTAGTTTTTGTAGCCATTGGTTACTCTGAGTTTTTGATAGTTAAAGGACAAGGTCAAGTTTGACAGTTTATAGAACAAAAGCAAAATGTGTTTAAATGAATCTTTATAGATTACTTGGTTTATTCAGATGTTTTGTATTGTATCTCATGTCAAGAATGATATACTAAATCTGTCACTGTTATTTTATCTGTTTTTTACAGATCGAATAAATAAGCTTCACAGCTTAATATCTCCATTTACGGCTGGACTCCCAAACTTCATTTTTCCCTTTCCTCAACTATTCACTATGTAAAGAACAAAATCAACATGTCAATTTTGCTTTCAATCATTAATTCTGCAATTGCAATAATTTATACAAATCATATTACTAAATTGTGCATTCCTTTTTGTCTTATCACTAGAAAGCCTTTCAAAAGTACAAATGTTCCGGGCAATGTATGTATAATAGAGGTCACGACCATTTTAATACTGACACAATATATATATTTAATTTATTTGTTATTTGCTCTCAGTGCATAATTTTTTTCTTCAATATATACACAGGTTATATGTTGATCGATGCGCATCGCCAATGTTCATAATCATACAAGTGTTTGATTAAATGTATGAAAAAACAGTACATGACCTTTGTATATATCAATTTCAAAGCAATTTCACTAAAGGAAATACATTGGCTTTCATTAACATTCTTTGTTTAAATGTGCATGAGGACATATTATTAATGGAATTTATTTTACTAAACATATGTTATTATCTTCTTTTCACTCTATCCTTCCTTTCCTCCTTCTTCAATCCCCTCTTTCAATCTCTTTCTTGTTCACTTTTAACTCATCATCTTTCTCTCCCCTCGTGGCTCCCACAATCCCTCCTAACATTCGCTCGTTCTTTCTCTCTGTATATCCATTCCCCGTTCATCCAACCCATAATTGCCCCATCCCTCTCTCTCTCTCTCTTTCTTTCTCCACCCCCTCTCTCTCTATCTCTCTCTCTCTATTTCTCTCATCAGAATTGTTCTTTATACAGGTCTACACTCTGATCAGGATGGCGGCGAACTTCGGCTCTGCAGAAAACATCTGTGAAGGAGAGAACTGTCAGTCAATTACAGATGTGACGTACTACGTGAAGGAGAAGAAGAAGCTCTGCGACGACTGCGCCTCCAAAGAGGAATGCATCGGAAAAGCTAGAAAGGGTAGGCCAAATCTGTATTGTGAGAAGCATGATGGTGAAGAAATCAAACTGTATTGTAAAACGCATAATGTAGCAGTGTGTCAATTATGCGCAATGATAGATCATCGTGACATGTCTTGCGTACGACAGGATATAGAGGGCGCCATCATGGAAAGTAAAGCGAGCCTAATCACTCTAAAAGAACAAGCAAAGGACAAATTGAAGCTGTGTCGAGTTTATGGAGATCAGATTCATACGTGTAGAAAAGATACCGACACCCATCTACAAGCTTTGAAAGATGAAGTTGATTCGGAAATCAATAAGGCGATCAAAACAGACAAGGACAAAGAGAAGGAGGATGCTGCAAAAATCAACCAGGAGACTGATCAGAAGAATACAAAACTTCACGAGGAGATCAAACAGATCAATGAAAAGATTCGAACAAACGACGAAGAGAGAGAAAATCTACTTGAACTGAACCGTACAAATGCAGAGAGAAGACGAGAACCAATCGGCAATAAACAGCATGTTCTTCAAAAAGACATAAATAACATCACTGAAGAGAAAGAGAGAAAGATTGGACAGTTAGAGATATCTTGGCAAGATAATACAAAAACCACAGAGACCACAATACAGACACTGAACACAGTACTCAAAGATGATTCAAATGTCATCAAAGATGGTCATCGTGTGAAGACATCAGTAAGTGATGAACTAAAGAAGCCACTGAATGAGGGTGAGGTGAAACAAATTATTAGGGCCATATCGGGTGTGAGGTTTGTGAAGGGTGCTGGGAGAGAGAAGTATAATGGGAGGATTGATGGGTATGATGGGGAGTGGAAGCTCATTGATACAATCATTGTCACAGATAAGTTCACATTCCCAACCATTGTAGGATACATACAAGAATACAATGTGATCATCACAGATGACACATCAGGTAGCTGCCATGCATACATGTTCGATATGAACACTAAAGACAGTCAGAGAGTGATAACCGGTATCAGTGATACATCATGGGTTACCTCTTGTGCATTGCTAAATGATGACAAGGTAGTATGCGGTAAATGTCAGGAAGTGTGTACAGGGTATAGTTGGATGGGAATCATCAGTATGTATGACAGACAATGGAAGCACATCAATGATGTCACATTACCAAGAATCACAATGGATAATTTCACAGTGATGGATGTAGCTGTTGACCAGAAAGGGATGATCATCACTGCTGAGCGGGATGAGTCTTACATACACGTCATCAACCCAGCTGATAGTAAGATCATGAATACCATCGTATGTAAACAGAATATAATAATGCGCGGTGTACTGTCATCAGGTCACATCATCGCTCAACCCTACCCTGATCACAGAGTGTTCATCATCGACAGACAAGGTGGCCAAAGGGAAATCTTCCGCAGTGATTGCATCCTCAATGCCTGCATCGATCCTATGACAGACGACCTCTACGTCGTAACATCAGATGATGAGAACGATACGTGTGTGATTGATCAGGTGATGAGTGGGGGTGAAATGAAGAAGAGAAGAGTAGCATCATTCCCTATATCAACACGACTGAGTGATAGGATGTTTCACCTTATAACATCTCGGGTGTTGATGACGTCATCAGGGAAACTGATTGCTTGCGATGGAGACAACATTCTCGTGTTTAAAAACAAATTTACCCTCTAAATCAAGTTCTGTTTGATTACCATTGTCCATGTTCACTACGTATACACATGCATGTATATAAACACATGATATCTACAAAATATTATCTTGATGTACTCATTTCGCTTCAATCTTTACAGACTAGTAAATCCTCATTTGATCATGATTCCAACATGTTAAGTTCCTAATATAGGATAACATCATGTCATCACTAGCATCTGAATAATTACATGTATATCTAAAATGTGTCTCATAACATGTACATAGATAAACAGGATAAACACTTTCAACACGAATGAATGAATCGTTATCATTTCTTAATTTCAAGGAAAAGTATAGCAACACATGAATTTGCATTAGTTCAATTACAATCACCATAATCAGGTTCGAGCCAAGTATGTACTATGAATAATAAAATACAAAATATAAATCTAAATCAAATCCTGTTTAATTACAATTTCCATCTGCACTTTGTATTTACATGTATGTACATAAACAAATGATATGGCTATGATCACTAGCATCACCGTAATTACATGTAAATCTAAATATGTTTGTTATTACATAACTATAACTAGATTAAACATGACTATATGATATACAGGATACAAAATTGTCCCATTAATATATAAATTGTTGTAATAATTTATTTTTTTATAAGAAAAGTGTAGCAATATAAGTACAATTGCCATTACCATAACTAGGTTCTAGCCAGGTTGGTGCAAATATAATACAAACAGCAAGATAAAATACCAAAAAGCAAAAATGAAGTTAAGATCGTAGTGACTTTAGGAGAAAATAAATGACTTTCATTGAAATACTTTAATAATGCAATACGATACAGAGTTTGCCTACCCGCCAAGATAGTATAGGATTTCCCGGCCAAATTTGCGAGTTTGTCATTAAAATTAATTTGTCTTGCGTTCAAATTCGACGGTTTTTGTGCTGTCGGGTATATCTCGGGTTTATATTCCTTTTTCTAGATTTCAAATCTATGAAGTTTTCGTTAGAATCTATGTATGTTTCATTCAAATTAATGAACAAAGTGCTTCTTTCGCTATTTGGTCATTCGATTTAGCGCAACACGATTTTCTGACATCGCGACGGTGTACTTTTTGCATTATAATTCATTTGTAGCATTCAAATTAGCACTTTGTGCACTTAAATTAATGGTCAATATACATTTCTCGTTTATTACACACTTTTTATAGCTCATTCTTTTTCTTTCAAGGTCGTTTTTTTCATGTGTATTTCATCCTATTTTATTTTCTTGCATTTATACTCTTTATATACTTTTAGATTTATCAGATATTCATCAGCCTTTAAGTTTGATTGTTTAAAAAAAAGACTTACATCTACGGACTTGATGGTCTCAATATTTGTGTAAATTTTCATGTAAGGAAGTTGTTTGTTTTGTGTTTCATCATAAATTTATCACAATTTCATTATGGAGGAAGGGTACAATATTGTGACTGAGGTAGGTGTTTTTGTATCCCCACTTTCCTGGGGTATATGGACATGTCCGTTCAGAAATGCCATATCCCTTGATTTCGCCCCTTCTTTACCTAATGTCTGACTACACACACATGCTTTGTCCTCAAAATTAATAAATTGAATAACAGAAAAGACCCCAATGGCAAATCATGTATTTAATTGCATTTTTTTAAAACTGTAAACGTGTGTTGCATTTCTTCCCCCTAACATTCCTAACTTGAATAAACATAATTCGAATACGAATGACAGGTGTTAATTTGAATGATAAAAATGACGCCTCGACAAGTGACGATTTATTTGAATGCTAGTTGAGCAGTTTCTAAATTGAATGACAGATCTATGAAATCCTTCGACCAGAATCCTAAATTAAATACAAAATCGGGAAAATTGAATGATAATTGGCATGGCAAAGCTGATCTGCGCTCACTTAAATGCAAAGTAAATGAATTCGAATGACAAACTCACGAATTTGGCCGGGAAATCCTATATTTACATGACAATAGCTCATAACATTATGTTAATTCGTACATTATACCAAGATTAAAGTAGATTCAACTAAGACATTTTACATTTTTCTCTGTTACTGTTGATATAGTTCATTTTGTTCTGCTAAGGGCAGTCAGCACAGGAGAGCCCTCTTTAATTATATTTCTATCCAACTTAATATTTTCGCTTTCTTCTTCATTATGTCTTATGATCCGTCACCTATCAGCTGAAGATTGGAATAAAATAAATATTATCAAATAAAAGAAAAAGGTTGCATAACCTTCCTATTTATCAAGAAACTATTCATATCACATATGCATATATTATTTAATACACACATAATGGGTACATGTATTCTAAAGATTATTATATTTTGTAAGATTTAATTTGTTTTCTTGTTTTTTTTCTTCATGATGATTTTGCGATTGAGAAATATGTAAATCTATTATATGTAAATTTACTTTTGTATGGACATATCTTGCGAAAATAAAGGAAAATTAATTGTTAATATACTACACTGATGTAATCAGTTTAGAGCCAAAAGGGAGTAAACTGTGACTATATACTATGTTACTGTTCTTATATGGCTCAGAAAAACACAATATTTACACTATATACACGCTCATTTAGATAAATAAATAGCTGTATATACATAGATGCATTACACTAAGTACATGTATAGGTATATTCGTTTAAAAGTTATTTATCGTTTTTTCAGCTAGAGAAATCAAATCATATGTGTTTTATCGTCATGATTTAACAAGAATTAAGTTTGATTAAAGGAGTCAAATTCATATATATTTTGTCTTGTCAATATCTTTAGCAAACCCTTCAAAATAATATGCTTTAGATTGCATGGCATTGTTATCTACCATGCAGGAATGAAATGCATTTTGAATATGCTCAGAACATGTTAACATGTTTATAGCTGTATAATACCCAGAATTGTTTACATGTATGCCACTTGTTGTCATGTTTGCGTAGTTTCATAGAAGCGATGCTAAAAAAATTCAAAAAGTTGCACAGTTTTGTTTCTGAAAATACTCACAACTTGAAATCTGCTGTATTACACTGAGTTGTTATGTATATCTGATTCAATTTGTTGAATTTGTAAATTTGCTATGAGGCATGTTGATATCAATGTATCAAACAAGCTTACTCGGTAGAGTGTTTGAGTAAAATAACAATCAATTAGGTTGCAAAGTCTCCTTATCCCTATTTACATTACAAGTATGCTCACGATTTGTACATATATGTATAATAACAAGTATTTGTAAGATTCAACACTATTGATTTTAGAATTAACATATAAACCTTTGATATGTAATTTTTGAAACGCAAATGCTACAATATTGAATAAGTTGCATAATTTTTTCATCTAACACACTCATAACATGTAAGTAGCTGCATATAGTATTATTATTGGGCGACTTTCGTTTTTTTGTTTTTATTCTGCTATAAGATCGGATGATATGTGTTTTCCAACAAGTATTTTCAATAGAGTTAATAATATCACAATTAAATGAGCTACAAAGTCTTGATATTTTGTACGAAATCATCCACATTACAAGTATGCTCACTACATGTACATAGCGAAATAATACCGAGTATTTGTAAGATTCAAAATTTGTGTTTATATCAGTATGCTACGAGATAGCTTTAATGTTTGTCTGTAGTTTGATAGAAGCGTTGCTATAACAATGAAATACAAAAAGTAGCAGTCTTGTAATATCTATAACACACACACACACACACACACCATGTAAATAGCTGCATAATACTAAGTTTCTGCAACATTAGATTTGTTAACTTTATATTTGTTATGAGATATGTTCATATATGTATACAATAATTATATATGTTAGGTTGAATAATATAATAATTAAATAGGGCGAAGTTTTATTATCTGTCAAGAAAGTACAATTATACATTACTGAAACGATTATATTACGTTCATATCAGCATAATATCAAGTACATGTACATTTTGATATTGTTGATTGTATAATTTCGCTATAGGAAATATCATTACTTGATATGTAGTTTAATAAAAACAGATACAATAACCAAAATACGTGTAAGCTTTACAGTTTATCATCGCTCACAATCATCGCATATATATTATACTGATTATGGTTCATTTGTGTATTTGCTTTGAGGCATGTTGGAACATATATGTTGCTATCAAACAAATATTACACAAATGATATAAAAATGCTGCAAGTTAATGAGGATGATGATGACGATGATGAGGATGATGGCTTTACAATGTATTGTAAAGCAATGGTAAACTAACAACATGTATCAATAACTTAATATTCACATTACAAGTATGCCCAAGAAATGTACATAGCAGCAGAATTATCTGCATTGGTAAGATTCAACTTTGTTGATTGTTATTTACTATATAACATATGTTTATCTTTATTGTCTAGGTTGATGGTTATAAAATAAGTCGTAGTGTTGTTTTTTCTTTCGTCTCACTCACTCAGAATATGAATATTACTGTATTATATAGTATGCCAGTCCACATATCACTACTCGCTACCAATACTCTCCTATGCTAGTTAAGATGTAATTGTTGTTTGCCTTTTTATGTTTCATGTTGTTTATTTTGTTTGGGGGAGGGTTATTTCTGTTATTCTATGTACAATATCATACGTATTATTGCATGATTTTATATCGTGTTTGTCATTTGGTTTATTTGATATTTTTAATTTGTGGTGATAAATAAAAATGAACATGCATAAATCATTGAAATAATTTGCACAGTTTTGTTATCTATCAATAGACCATTCATATTACACACTCATGAAAATAGTTTTAGGGAGAGTACCAATGAAATTCTGACGTCATAATGGCTAAGTTGTAAAGGTTGATGGTTAAAAATACTGTTGTGCTAAAAAAAATAGCGTGGTGATTACACCAGGGCCGACCATTGCATTTGCCCTGCTCCAGGGCGTTGGTTAAATTGTTTGTTGGCCTTATGCTTAAAGGGCAAGTCCCCTCCAAATATAACTAACGTTCAATAGAAGCAGAAAA